CATTTATTTATAAATCTACTGAGCCCGGAGAATTTACTCCAGTTATAATTTGTGATCGTTTGGTCTCCGTGTAAAGCATTGATTCTCATTAGAACCTGACCACTATTACAAGACAAACGACTGAAAATGTGTTAAACAATATTTTCACGCAAGTTATCTTGTAAGACGTTTTAAAACATATATGTTTCTCTTTAGCACTTTCTGAAACTGAAACTGAAACTGTTCTATTAAATTAAACGCCTATTTCTATATACATATTCAATGGCGTTGTACAAAAGGATAATAAAAGTATGTACATATAGATAAAAAAACAACACATATGCATGGCAAATGAACTACAAAAAAATATGTTAAAGATATCAGCCGTGTAAAATATAAAGTATTAAAAACTTTAAAAAAAGAAAGAATAGTTATACAAAATAACAATAAAAAATAATTTTAAAGAAAATAAAAATTAATGGTTATTTCAGTAAAATTTCAAACACATTTCCACATCTCTATCAGTTTACAGCCCAATCACAATCTTAAAACAATGCGTAAAAATCTCTAAAATAGTAGGTTTTGACATTTTTCTTGAACATGTCCAAAAGTCGAAGACTGTCTTATATACAGAGGCAATTTATTCCACAGAGTTGGACCAACGGTACTAAAACTTCTGTCGTTAAATGTTTTCCTTTTGTTAAAGGGGACAGCAAAACAATAATCCATATTATCAACAGATCTGAGATTTGGTCTTTTTATGACAGGCTTGTGTAACAGTTCTGTTAGATAAACCGGAGCATTGCCCATAAAACAGTTATACATTGTACATAGTATTTTAAAACTGATCCTAGCTTTAATTGGTAACCAATGCAGTTCCAACAAAGAGTCTTTGGAACTATCATATTTTCCGCGTTGCAAAACAAGTTTAGCGCACATATTCTGGATACGCTGTAATTTCTGTAACTCACTTTCTGAAATGCCAAACAATATAGCGTTGCAATAATCCAAATGTGAGATTACAAGCGACAATACTAGGATTTTTGTGGCGTCCTGAGTCAGATATTTGCGAATGTTCTTTATTCTCAAATAATTTAACATAGCAGTTCTACACTTGGTCTTAACATGTGTTGAGAATCTTAGGCCCTCGTCTAAGTAGGCACCTAAGTATCTTATGACACTGACATTTTGAATTTTATCACCGGCGATATCAATTTCTTTAATTGAACATTTACCAAGTTGGGCTCTACTACCAAACATAATGAATTCTGTCTTAGTGGTGTTCATTTTAAGTTTATTGGCATTCATCCAGTCATTGATGATTACAGCACTGTCTTCAAGTTGCTTTATAGCGTTAAGTTCATTGGTCAAGACAAGACACACAAGAATAAAGTGCTTTGCTGTAGGATACATGATGATATTTTATATCTAAAGTATTTTCGCTTAGAATTATTCTTACCTGCCAGACTGTCATCTCTTTCAGTTTATTCCATACTCGAAATATAGTTAAACTCTGCACTGGGGTGCTTGCTCCAAATTGACTTCATACAAGCGCATTTATGAATAAAACTGCATTATTTAAATGAAGTCATTTTTTGCCGTTGCGAATGAAGATGTAAATCAAAAAAGCTACATAAAGAAAAAGTATCAGATTTCGACACTACAAGTAATATACATGAAAATATAATTGAGGTGAAACAATTAAAATATGCTAGAATAAGCAAGAACGATATCTTGCATGTTTGTGCAGTTAATATCAGAATGTTTGGGTTTAGTGTAGGCATCAGCCGGGCAGGTACACTCGGTTCTGATATTCCAGTCTCAACTACAACATATGAAAGACATGAAAATACAAAAAAAAGAAAACCTGTAATACCGGTATATATGAACAAGTCATTCAAAATACAGTTAAAGCCGGGAAGTCCCAAATTGTGAAAATATTTCAATCTTATTTTCTACAAAACTTCTAAACACTCGAATGCTATATGCGAGAACGCTTGCATTGAGGTGTACATGAAAGTTACTGTCAAATACCACCAAATGTTGGACTTCATCCTTGCAAAACATTTTACATGTACACAAAATAATGTAAAATGTCTTCACTCTGTATGCATTGTATTTAAACAATACGTTTTAATAAGTAGTATGTTAAAATGAATTATATACCCAAAGAATAAGCGCACACTTTGAACACTTTACAAATTGTACTTATCACCAAAATAATTTGGCATTGAATTTGAATTAAAAAGAGTTATTCCCGAAGAGGTATATAGATAGATTCTAACTATATGCACTATATCTTGTGTAACTTTATTGTACTTCCGTTTTGTGTGCAACCAGTGGCAAATAACTGTGCTTTTGAGTCTTATTATCCATAATCTTGCAGTACTTCCGGCAAAGTTTTCATATTCACCACTTTTAAAATAATCGCATTACCGTAAAGTTTGTCCTGCTTTTCAAGCTCACTAATAAGTATTTTTATGTTCCTAATTCCATATTTTCCAGAAACATAATAGCCACCTCGAAGAGCTAGCTGACCAGAGGGGCCCATTTACAATGCAAGCATTACGGTAACACGAGTATCTCCAAATGATTGTTTTGGAATTTTTTGCTGGAAGTACATTAAAATAATAAGTAATAAGTTTGCTTGCTCTTCATCAGAAGTTATGTTGGTTCCCTAAACTATTATATCTGGAGCGCACCAGGAATCAGTACAATGTGTTACCTTATAATTTTTCGAAGCACGCCTGGAAACAGTTGTTCTGGTTTAATGGTTCCCTCTCAAATTAACACTCGGAAAACCTTGTCGATTACCATCAATCCTGATGTCAAGATTCGCGAAAGTAGATTTCCCGAAATGAGACTCTTAGCGCGTTCACGGTCGTGCTATAAAAAAAATCAGTCAAATTTTAAATATTTTATGAAAAAAAAAGATTATAAAATATTGAAAAATTTGACTGATTCAAGTAACGTATCGGCAGCAGAACTACTGGCTACACATTATGATTATAATACTTTGAACTGCACACTTACGGCCACACAATTAACTCAACACTAACACACACTCTTTTCTACTTCCGAAATACGGCCATTTCATGTTTTATATGATTTATAAAATTTAAAAAACACAACAGTGAGCACAAATTCATTTAAAGTCAAATTTCGTGATTAATGATGCCAATTAAGGAAAATGGTATAGTGAAACGGGAACCTGCCGGAAATAGATATCGACTCGGCGTCTATTTCTATTTATTCTATATTTTATCCAAAAAAGTTGTGTATAAAGGTAATTATTTTGATAAAGTTGTACTGTATACTTGAATCAGTGGTATTTTTTTGTATTTTTTGATGATTTATTCATCAAAGATCTTTAACGCGCTAAGAGTTCCATTTCGGGAAAAGTACTTTCGCGAAACTTCGTATTAGGATTAATAATTTTTATTGTAATCGGCAAGTGGTTTTATTCCGTATGTCACTTTGAACGGGAACCATAATGAGATAGGAAACAAGAAAAACTGTCACAGGTAACCTGCTGGTACTGATTCCTGGCGGGCTCTAAATATAATAATTGTACAGGGAACCAAAATAACCTTCGATGGAGAACGCGCACCTGCAAAATGTTTTTTTACAAAATACTCCCAATCGCACTCCAAAACAAAATTTATCCTGTTTTCAGGCTTAAGTCAGACAGTTAATCTTAAGATATGCAGTCATGCTATTTATTTCAAGGAATATATGTATTTTAACAAGTTACTGTGTTGTATAAGTTACGAAATAGTAGTTCTGTTGTGTTCATTTTCTGCCATTTTACTAATGTATAGTCAGATTTTTAACAGCAGGCTGTTTTAAGACTTTATAGTGACCAATTGTCATAATGTTTTGATGTATCTTATCCCCTAGCTGGCCGCATGTTTCAAGTTCATCTTTTTACCGCTATACAATCACAATTATCGCATCATTGCTACAATTCTGATTACATTGTATATAAATAATCATTTTCACTTACTCGCTAATTTCCCCTGTTCAAATCGTTAATGAATACTTCCGGGTATGAATAGAGTTTAGAAAAATATTGAACGGAAAAGAGTAATTAAATAAGATATTATCTACCAAAATATTTTCGCGGCATGGCATTCCTTTTTGATATTTGTATAAAAGTGAGCGACATTTATATGTAAAGAATAAGAAACATTATTTCTTTGTTGTATTGTTGGTGCGAGGTAACATTTATCTCAATGGTTTTGACATAAACGTTCATAAAAAGGAAATATTTATATTAAATTTCGATCTATTTATCTGCATAGGAAACAACAGACACTTAGGTAAAAATAATTTATTTATGTACATCATCATGTATATAAAAAAATTGGTAATTAAAATTTTACTTTTGTTACATGTTATATTATGCGGATGGTGAATGCACCGACATTTATGTATTCGATACTCGTGTTTGAATAAACAGCAATTAGTACCAATTCATTATTTGAAAAATCTTTATATTTTTATTAAAACTGAAATACTCATATGCCATATTAATTCTACTTTTTAATGACATTGATAATAATTTTTGTTTGTTTACATTATAGTATGCTGTGTCAATTTTAAACGTCCTACGTATTTTAGAAATCAAAAAGAACATTGTATGGTGTTTTTTTAAGACAGCTGTCTGAAGTCAAAGATTAAACATTTGGTGTAATTAAGAAATGTAATTTTACTTTACAGGATTCAAGGTACATTGTGATAGATCTTTACCTACTTCTTCTGACATGACAAACTGTTCTGGAAACATGGATTATAGATGTGAACTTTGTAATAAGTTATTTAATTATAAATTTAATCTAAAAACACATATTATAACAGTTCATCACAGAGAGAAGAGATTTAAATGCGAAATATGCGAGAAATCATTTTCTCGTAGTCATCATCTGAAATATCATATGTCAATACATACTGGTGAAAAAGACTATAAGTGCGACATATGTGAAAAATCTTTTCCGCGAAAGCAAATCCTCGCAGAACATATGCTATTGCACTATGGTGAGAAAACGCAAACATGTGAAATATGTAATAAGTCATTTAGTTATAAATATAATCTATATAAACATATTAAATCAGTTCATCTCCAAGAGAAGAGATTTAAATGTGAAATATGCGAGAAATCATTTTCTCGTAGTCATCATCTGAAATATCATATGTCAATACATACTGGTGAAAAAGACTATAAGTGCGACATATGTGAAAAATCGTTTTCGCTGAAGCAAAGCCTCACAAAACATATGATAATGCACTCTGGTGAGAAAACGCAAACATGTAAAATATGTAATAAGTCATTTGGACTAAAAAGTACTCTTCAAAATCATATGACAGGTATACACACTGGTGAGAAAAAATATGCATGTGAAATGTGTGATAAATCATTTTCTTTTAAAGGTTACTTAAAGAGACATATGAAAATACATACTGGCGAGAAACATCATGCATGCGGAATATGTGAAAAGTCATTTTCTCGTAAAGATGCTCTTGATGGGCATATGACAATACACACTGGTGAAAAGAAATATTCTTGTGAAATATGTGGTAAATCATTTTCCTTCAGAAGTAACCTTAGATCACATATGAAAATACATAATGGTGATAGAAAGTATCATTGTGAAATCTGTGAAAAGTCATTTGTTCAAAATAGCAATCTCAAAAGACATATGAAAATACATACTGGTGAAAAGGAGCATCACTGTGAAATTTGTGATAAATCATTTGCTGATAAAAGTTATGTTAAAGTACATATGAAAGTACACACTAATACTAAAACCATGTAAATGTTATGGATTATTTGCAAGAATTGCCTTTTACGCCACCCCCCTCCCCCCCCCCCCACACACCAAAACGTATAGATGTCATTCGTGCATAAATACATGTAGAGTGTTCTCTTTAGACATAGTCATATTTGATAAACAAACTGACGTTAGATGTGTGATGTAATATTCAGAATATTTTTTCAAGGGGACATCTCAAGACACATTTTATAACGCACCCTGATAAAATAAGCAGCAAGCTGTGTTGACAATATAAATGAATCATTTGTTCGTATAGAATATCTCAATAACTAATGATAAGCCCAATAAATAGAAGGAGAGAGGTTTAATTTGCGAGTAGTGAAATATCTCTCGTTTCAACATGAAAAAACGTCAAAAATTGTTATATGCTGTACTTTATTTACACAGAATCAGTCATTACAGTAGCAGATGACATGGTAATATCTTAACAAGAAAAAAAAATCACAAAGTGTCATTTACTAACACCATTGTTAGAGCAAATATGTAAATAAAAATTGATAAATTACAGTGATTTTGTTATTAATTTTGTGTACAGAGGAAATGTACAGTTTTTCGCTAACTCCACAAAAATGAAAAAAAAGTTCTCTTAAAGTGAAGTGATTTTTTTTTCTTTTTTACATACGTTTTAAGTATCAAGAATTTTCTAAAAAAAAATAATAAAGCGCCGTTTTTTATTGATTTTATAAAATTTCTACAAATGTGAAATTTTAGGCTGCCAGTCCTCTTGAAATTAAAAACTTTCTGAAGTGATTTTTAGTTCACCTAGCTGTCACAAAGTGACAGGGTGAGCATTTGTGATCGCTTTGTCCGGCGTCTGTCCGTCCATCCGTCGTCCGTAAACTTTTACTTTAAATGACATCTCTTTAACCACTAAGCCAATTTCATCCAAACTTCAAAGGAATGTTCCTTTGGCGGTCACCTTTGAAAATTGTTCAAATAATTTAATTCCATGCAGAACTCTGGTTGCCATTGCAACAAAAAGAAAAAACTTTAAATATCTTCTTCTTAAAAACCCAAAGAGCTAGAGCTTAGATATTTGGCATGAAACATCTTCTAGTGAGTGTCTACCAAGTTTATTCAATTAAAAGCCCTGGGGTCAAAATTGGCTCCGGCACCGGGGGTCATTGATTTTCCCTATATGCATATAGTAAAAACTTAAAAATCTTCTTTTAAAGAACCCAAACAGCTAGAGCTAAGATATTTAGCATGAAAAATTTTCTAATGGGTGTCTACCAAGTTTGTTCAAATAAAAGCTCTGGGGTCAAAATTGGCGCCGCCCCGGGGTCATTTATTTTCCCTATATGCATATAGTAATAACTTAAAAATCTTCTTTTAAAGAACCCAAAGAGCTAGAGCTAAGATATTTAGCATGAAACATGTTCTAATGGATGTCTACCAAGTTTGTTCAAATAACAGCCCTGGGGTAAAAATTGGCCTCGCCCCGGAGGTCATTGATTTTCCTTATATGTGTATAGCAAAAACTTGAATAATCTTTGAAAAAAAAAACAAATAGCTTGAGTTTAGATACTAAGCATGAAACATCTAATGAGTGTGTACAAAGTTTATTCAAATAAAAGCCCTGGAGTCAAAATTGGCCCCGCCCCGGGGTCATTTATTTTCCTTATATGTGTATAGCAAAAACTTAAAAAATCTTCTTTGAAAAAAACTCAAATAGCTAGAGTTTAGATATTGAGCATGACGCATCTTTTAGTGAGTGTCTACAAAGTTTGTTCAAATAAAAGCCCTGGGGTCAAAATTGGCCCCGCTCCGGGGGAAATTGATTTTCCTTATATCCTTTCGGCGGCCACCACCTTTTCAAGCATTTTCATAGAGACGCCCTACCTCAAAGTGTCGCCTCTCAGTCCGTATAGGCAGTTACTGGCGATGTTTCAACCCTATGACATTCTGATTTAGTGGTGTGTGACATAAAAGCGCGCGTCAGAGCACGCGATTTCAGGACGTGACGACATGCGCAGGCTGTTATGGTGATGTATGCGCGGCTAACTTAAAAAAAACAAAAAAAAAACGGAAGTATAAACGCAGTGCAGCTGTCTCCTACATGGTTAACTTTGTGTTTGTTCCCCACCTTGACCATTTATCTGTTCGAAAAATATAACATTTTGGCAGGAAAAGTCACGTGACACGCACCTGGTGAGAAACATGTGTTGGCGGTAGAATTCAAATTTCCAATTTTGTCAAATTCGCACGCAAACACGTCTTTAAATGGAAATAGCGGTGTTCGAAATTCGTCCTTGACCTTGATCACGTGACATCCTGTATTATGCCATGCATATGTTTCAATGTTGGAGCCTAATCCAAATTTGAGGATGGAATCTACGGAAGCCCAAAAGTGCCACCTTCGCGAATACGTTTTATTACGTTACAGCTGCTGAAAGGATATTTGTATAGCAAAAGCTTAAAAATCTTCTTGGAAAAAACCTGATTAGCTAGAGTTTAGATATAAAGCATGAAACATTTTCTAGTAAGTGTCTACAAAGATTGTTCAAATAAAAGTCCTGGGGTCAAAACTGGTCCTGCCCCAGGGGTGTCATTGTTTTTAACTATATGTGTAAAGAAAAAACTTAAAAAATCTTCTTTTAAAAAACCCAATGAGCTAGACCTTAGATGTTTAGCATGAAACATCTTCTAATGGGTGTCTTCCAAGTTTGTTCAAATAAAAGCCCTGGGGTTTAAAATGGCCCCGCTCCGGGGGTCTATATACAGGTGAGCGACTTCAGGGCCATCATGGCCCTCTTGTTTTCTTTGAATGACAGGATATGTCCTCAAAACTTTATAAAAACGTTTTTCTCATTTTTTTTATAATCTACGACGTTAAAATTTCAGGCCGCTATGCCGCCAACTTCACAAAAAAAGATTAATAAAATCAAAAAGTTTCTCAAAGTGATTTTTTCTTCTAATTTACCTTTCTAATAATTATGAATTATCTTAAGAACTTCATGAAGTGTCGTTTTGATTGTTTTTACAACATTACTACAACTGAAAAATGTTAATAATATATAATTACAGTATTAGTTAGTATATTCAATATATCCATAAAATTAAAAATGGCTTAAGAACTTAATTAAAAGCCGTTTAAGTATTGTTTTATAGCATTTCTAACATAATACAAGTTTAGGCCGCTAGGCTGCATAGTTCACAAAAAAATGATAGAATCAAAAGTTCTCTGAAAATTATTTTTTCTTTTTATATAGTATTTTTATATCAAGAATTGTCTAAAAAAAAAACTTCACAAAGTGCCGTTTTTATTGATTTTATAACTTCACGCCGCTAGGCCACCGGGCTGCCAACTTCACACATCTAAATAGTTGAGAGAAAAATAGGTCACTCGAAGGTCCATTACTCTAATAGTGATTTGACATAGCTATGGTCCTTCTTGAGCTCTAAAGTTCAACATTATCCAGTTATTTCTATACTATCAAGTACTTAAAATTGTCGAGCATACTCCTTTTGTTAATAAAGTACATGACGAGATAAAATATTCACTTTTGAAGATTTTGTACTGTAAATAATTTACAGTTCTCGTAAGTAACATGCGAGAGTTAAAGTAATCACCGCGAGGTGATTTTTTGTTTACATTTTGATTCTCACGAGGTTTAAGTTAAGCATGTGACACATTCAACATTGAATATCACCAAAAGTTTCATTCGAGAATATAAGACATATAAAAATACGAAAGAGCGACACAAGACGTTTACAGAAATCTTGCTTGTCAATATGTGTCTTTAACTGACCCTGACAGGACACCGTATATTTCAGCGAGGATTAAAATGTGTTATTCTTACAGACGTTAGAAGTCACTTTTTGAGTAGCTCTGCAGGGGGTATGTGTATATAATCGTATTTAAGAATTAACATCGCCATACAGGTACATGTACATTGTTTATAAGAATTTATTATTGGCCTTTAAAGGGAATTTGATAAACTTATTTCATTTCATTGATTCAAATAAGTGATAAGCAGAGAATGAGTTGTTAGGTAAAGAACTATTAAAAATAGATACGTTTTCTCAGAAACGATAAGTTAATTTGCAGTTACACATAGCCTGATAATTTATAAATTCTAAATTGTCTGATTTAATTTAAAGTTTTCTCTAATCTTACAAACTTAACTATGCACAATTGGGGCATATTTGAATGAAATTAGATAAATATTGCGTGATGTAGTTATCACATGCAAATTTTCCCAGACATTACTATAGATCGCAAACCTTAATATGTATATTTGAAATAAGATTTAAAAATAATTGAAATAAAACTAGCTAAATTTGTATATCCGACAATATAGCAAATGTATATTTGCTGAGATGTTATAAACATCGAAAATAATAATATGACAAATGTAAATAACGGTTTAATACAGCACACCTCCAATTTTGTGCAAGAAATAAAAAAAAACTAAAAGAAAACTGTTCAAGCGAGTGAAAATGTTGTCAAACATGGCAATTTAAAGACAGCTTTGATTAATAATCTCTTACTTGGGCAACATTTAGTGAAAGGAATTGTAAATTCCGTCACATCTTGCGTATTTAACAATCAAAGTTTCACGTTTATTGTAATCATTTAAACATTTCCAAAAAGTATACATGTTGTATATACGTATACAATATTTTGTCTATATTTTTGTGAGTTACTTTTGTTATGTGAGGACTTTAATAATTATCCAAAGCTGAAAGTGACATCATGCACACAAAAGTGTAGATGGTGGGTGCACAGGTAAAAGTCAAGTTCAAGAAAGCGGAAGAAGAAATATTTAAATATGCATTCTTCATATCTGTGTTTGAACGAAATTGTTTTATATGTCAGCATTTTTTCTGTACTCAAATAGTCACCCCTCAAGATGGTAGTAAAGGATATGTGCGATTATCAGTGGTAGAAGAAAACTGAAAATGCAATTTTCATAATAAATTTGTTCTAAATGTTTCCAGTTCTCTATGGATGAGTATTTCCAGAACGTATATAGACAATATAGTAGAATATATATCAATCAGACAAATCTAACCATTTTGGCGACATTATCGTGATTATTCTTATTACAAAAGAAATAAGCAAATAAATCTGTCAGATGAAAGTTACATTTGTCTGGGTTTTGGGAGAATAATGTTGCTCATTGTCTGCAATTTTTGTATCAATTTATGTCTGATCTCACAATGAAAATGAAACAATATTCTAGTAGATGTTGTTTAAATATGTGATCTATGAGGGCAAGGAAATCATAACAAATGGACATTTGTGCACTAAAATTGAATGGATATGGTTTATGTTTATTTTTTATCTTGGAAATGCTCCCTTCATCGCTGAATTCTGCAGAA